AAGCCCAGGCCCACCCACCTGGATCCACTGCCGCTGCCGCTCCTGTGGTTTCCCCTTCAGCCGGGGGCCAAGTTCCGCCTTCAGCTCAGGGCCCAGCTCCTCCATCACCAGGTTGCTCAGGATCTAGAACCGGGAGGCACAGCCGGGGCAGGGGTTGGCTTGTGTCTAGGCGCGCTCCTCTCCACGTATGGTCAAGCCCGGCCACTCAGGTCCCTACTCCCTTGTGGTTTGGCCCTTTGCTCCATGTCTCCACTCGTCTCTCTCCTGAGCATCATTCCCACAGGTCCCAGCTTATCTGTTTGGGCGTCTTGCAGGCTCAGGGGTCCCACCTCAGGGCCTTTGCACATGCGGCCTCCCTGTCCAGAACACCGCACCTCTCTTCCCTTGCCTAAGCATGGAGGTGTGTGTGTTTATTTGTCAAATGTTTGTTTTTCCTGCTAGACAGAGAGGGCCAGAGCTACGTCCCTCTTGTTCACAGTGGTGCCTCAGCCCCTGGTCCAGGGCAGGTGCTCAGTAAATGACTGAACAAAATAACAAGTATCTCCACCTGCATGACCCACCTCAGCTTCCACTTGTCCAAATCTGAGTTTGTCGTCTCTGTCCGAACGTTCAGTGCCCCAGAGCCCATCTCTGTGCCCAGCTCCACCCTCTGGACAGTCTCCCTGCCAGCTCTCCTGGCCTCACCTGCACCTCGTTGCCACACAGCATCTCCCAGGTGCCATACAGCTCCTTCGACTGGCGGTACATGCGAATGGCGTCCGTGAACGCAGGGCCCTCCACCTTGGAGTCCTCGGGGATCCCTGCCCAGGGACGGGAGGGGGAGGGGAGGTCAGCAAGATGGCCCCGTGGCCTCCACCAAGACCACCGACTGACGGCCAAACACACACACAGACACACACACACACACGAGCGAGCGTGTACCCATGCACACCGCCACCTGTGACCCTCCACTGCCCTTGTAGTAACTGTGGCAGGAGAAGCTGGAGTGACCGCAACAGCAATAACACCACCAACAGCAGCAAGGCAGGCCTTCAGACCCCCCTTATGTCAAGTCCTGACAACCACCCCAAGACACGGGTACCGTCGTTCTCTCTACTGCACGGCTGTCAGACCAGGTTCCAGGGCAGCGATGGCAGAGCCAGGACTAGAAGCCACCCATCCTCCCAGGGGCGGCTGCCCTGAGATGTTCATTCTCGTCCTGCCCCCTCCCCCTACTCTCTACTTCGGGGACCTGCAACTTTTCCCTGCTCGGGGCCAGACGATAAATGCTTTCCGCTTTGCAGGCCAGATCATCTCTGCCACAACGCAACTCTGCCATTGCAGCATGCGCGGAAGCGGCCACGGACAACGCGTGCGTGAACTTGATGTACAGCAGTCGGCCATGACTGAATTCGGCCCATGCGGTATAGTTTGCCAAGCCTGGTTCCAGGTCACTGAAACCTAAAGGGACTCAGTGTCCCCTTCTGAACAGTGGGAACCATGACCCAGCCTGGCCTTGCACAACCACTGGGAGGCTCCAGGGACGACAGTGCAGGCCCCAGCATGGGGCTGCATATTGTACTCGATGAGTAACTGGAGCAAGAAACTGCTTTTGCTTCTGTGGGCAGGCCCTCGGTCACCACTGTGTATTCGGGTCTGACTACAAAATACAATTTTTCTATTTTTGTTAGTAGTGGCGGTGGCCCATCTGAGTGTGCCCACCTCCCCCGTGATGGTGAGGCAGGTATCAGTGAAGCTCCAGACTGGGTGCTGGGGAGGCAGGCTGCAGGAAGTTGCAAAAGCTGGCTTGGGGAAGAGTGTGGTTAAACACCACAGAGCCAGGCAGCGGGCGGCTACCTTGGCCACGTGCCCCCGACCACTGTGTCCCCAGAGCTGAGGGAAGGGAAACAGCACCCTGCACCCCTGAAACCGAAGCTCCTCCTGCGATGACTACAGGCTGAATCACCCCCACAGAGAAAAAGCCCCGCTCTGGTGTGGGGAAGACCCCTCCCTTCCCACATCCGGCTGACCGCAGAAATCACTGCCTGTCGGAGCTGGGAGGGAGCTCAGCAGTGGAGAAACTGAGGCCCGGCCCCCATCCGTGCAGTGGCCGCTCCCTAAACTAAAATGGGGGCAGGGGGCGTCTTACCCCTGCATGTCGGGGCCCTGACATCAGGCAGGAGTGGCTGGAGCAGAGAAGGGGTGTTCTAGACGAGGCTGGTGCAGAGCCCCTGGGGCGGGGTGCCACCCACCTGGGCCAGGAGAACCACCACCCCACCACCCCCCTTCCCCCAGGAGGGACACTGTCTCCCAGAGACCAGGTTTCGACGTCAGGGCATTTACACTCTACAGGCGACAGCCAGGTGTGCCAGGCCGGGATGCTTTCCCAGCGGCAAGAAGGGCCGGCAGCAGCAGGAAGGAGGCTGGCGGTTCGAGCCCTGACTCTGCTCACCCAGACTCTTAGAGCATCCCTTGTCTGCATGCCGAGCTGCCGAGTTTTATAAAAGTGAGGGTCACCCCCCCACCCCCCGAGCTATTGTGTCCCCCCACACGCACCTCAAATTCATATGTTGAAGCCCTAACCTCCTGAACCTCAGAATGGGACTGTATTTAGAGATAGAGACTGAAAAGATTAAGGTAAAATGAGGTCACTAGGCAGGGCTCTGATCCGATATGACCGGTGTCCTTACGAAAAGGAAATCTGGGCACAGAAAATGTTCACGCACGGGGCCGAGGACCATGTGAAGACACGGGGAGAAGGTGGCCCTCTGCAGGCCAGGGAGCGAGGCCTCAGAAGAAAACGAAGCTGCTGACATTTTGACCTTGGACTCCCAGACTCCAGAACTGTAAGAAAATTAATTTCTACTGTTTAAGACACCCGGTCCGTGATGCTTTGCTGTGGCGCCAGAGCCAGTGAGACACTCGAACACATTCCCTCATCCAGTCCTCAAAACAGTTCTGTGAGGAACGGCCCTTCTCAGCCCGCTTTTCCCAATGAGAAGAGGCTCAGGGAGGCAGTTACTGGCCCAAGGACACACAGCTAGGGAAGGACCAGGGCTCGAACCCACAACCCACTGACTCCAGCGAGACCTGGAGAATTCCATCCCGAGGGGTCATCGGTGTCAGGCTGAGAAAGGAAATCGCATTCCTTAGTCCTGGGCAGCAGACAGGAAGAGGCCTTGACCTCTGCGCCCCACGCCCACCCCCAGGGCTCAGCTCAGTGCCTCAGCTGCCTCTTGCCACCCCCAGCTGCTCCAGGAATGCAGGATGTGAGGCCCCCCCTCCATGAGCTGGCGTCCACCCAGCTTGGCCTCCTTCCCCACCCCCCACCCCTACTTCCTGGCAGCCCCTGGAGTGAGCAATTCCAGGCTCCACAAACTCCAGGCCCAGCCTCCCCGGCCCAAGGAAGCCGAGAACTTTCCCACAGTCCTCAGCGTGGAGGAAAGGCACGTCTGAAACCAGACTTGTCAGCTCTGGAACACTTTCCTGCTGCAAGACACCCCTTCTCGCCCTCCTTCCTGCCCCTCGGCAGCTCTCCCTGACCTCCTCTCCTGCCCGCAGCACCCACGCCCAAGGGGCTCCCCTAGGCCTCCCAGCTGAGCACTCGCTAGGTGCCAGGCGCGGGGCCAAGTGCTCTACAAGAGCCGGCTCATTTACCCCTGCTAACAATCCCACAAAGCCCCAGTTGATCATCCCCCAGGGGAACTGAAATGGTGACTCTTCCCCACCTCATTCTGGCCCCATCCTCCACCTGACCTGGGGTCACCCTGCCAGGTCAGCCATTAGCCTTGGACACCTAGAAAGGGTGGAGCTGGGCCAAGGTTAGGGGGAGGGAGAGAGGGAGGGAGGAAGAAGGGAGGAGGGAGGGCGCCCCCTCCTCCAGGCAACCAGAGACCAAATCACCTCCGCCCAGTCCTGGCCCCACCACCCCTGGGGACCTGGGAACAGGAGGCCCTTTGTGGGCACCAAGGCCCGGCCCAGGTGGCAGGGATCGGCCTGACGAAGACCTGGTTCCTCTGCCTGTCAGACTCCAGACAGGGCAGAGGCGGCTCTGGAGAGTCCAGAGGGTGGGTGAGGTGAGCCGAGTCACCATGGCTGCCGGCCTCCAGGCACGGGTGCCCCCACCACCTGTCCACCTCCGTGTGGAGCTGAGCCCAAGGTGTGCCAGGCCCGCAGGGTGGGCAGCGGCAGGCACAGCCGCCTCCCTCTGCTGCCCCAAGGCCAGGTCACTAGGAGACAAAACAGGGTTGCTCCTTCCACAAGCGCAGAAAGAACTTCCGGAAACAATCACAAGCTTTCTTGATCAAACTCCTTAGAGCCCTACGAGGCTCTCCTGACCTGACCCCAGGGTCCCCTGCAGCCCCATTTCAGGTCTCCCCCTCTCCTCTTCAGGGCCTCCTGCCGTTCTAACCTGCTCCCGCCTCTGGGCCTCCCCTCATGCCGCTGCCACCTGTCAGGAAGTCTCCTCAGGCTGCTGGGAGACTCAGCTGAACCAGGGCTCAGCTGAACCAACGCCTCCTCAAGGGAGCCGCCCTGACCCACCCCACCCCAAACACAGGATCAGCAACCCCCCCACCCAGTACAGTCACACCCTCAAGCCTCCCCCGGTGACTCCCCCAGCACCCAGTACAGCTGTGACTCATCGCCCCGGGTGAACCCATCTGTTTAACATCTGTCTCCACCACCAGGCTGCAGGCAGCTCAGGGGCCGGGACCACGTCTTCCTCCCTGTTGCATCCTCAGTGCCCAGACACTAAAAATGTTTGCTGAGTGAATGAGTGGGCCGGACAAGACCTCATAAGCTCACGAATGAGAAGACACTGAGGCCCCGAGGGCGGAAGTGAACTTCTCAGACTACCTAGAGGTCGGTGGTAAGGGAAGAAATGATATAATAAAAAAAAAAGAATTTGTATAAGCATTGAGTGGATTCTCACTGTGAACCCTCAGACACAGGAGGAATCATATCTCCATTTCAGAGGTAAGTCAGGTCCTAAGGAAGTGGCAGCATCAGGATTGTGATCCTGTGACCCAGGGTTCGAGGGCACAGCTAACCACACCCATCTGGAGAGCAATTTCCTGAATTTTTTCTGAGCAACGCAGAACTGTTTTCATCCAGGGAAAAAGGCTAAGGGTGGCATCACCATGGTTTCTGACGAGCCCAGAAGGAAAATGACAACAGCTCGTAGAGCAGGGTTGCCATACCACACTCAGCCACTAGGTGCCACCATTCGGCAAAAACCCAGGGGATCTCACTCCATGGCCCCACCGCGGCCCGGGGGCGCCTGAAGGCCACTCACCGTTGTTGCAGTGCCGGATGCAGTCCTGCAGGACAGCCTGCCACTTGTCCTGCTCGGCTTCTGTCATCATGCAGAAGTAGTAGTGTCGTGCAGAAGGATGCCAGAGGATGAGTGGGAACTGCGTGGGGCACTTGAGGATGGGGGCGGAGCCCGATTTCGAGGTGGTCCCTGTGGACACAGTGAGCTCTGAGCGGCTGCCCTCTGCAGTTGCCCTGGGTCCTAATCTGAGGGGTAGGCTCAGGTCCAGAGAGAGTCGGCCTGTCCTGGGGTGACCAGCATGTCACTGAAGAGGCAGCATCCTTTCTTGCTGCATCCTCCACAGCCTGGCTGAAGGGGCCCCAGAATCCCCTGGCACCTGTTTAGACCCATTTCTCAGAGCTGGTAATGCAGTCACATCCACTCGCTCTTGGGGAAGTTTCTAAACTCCGTGTGTGAGTCACAAATGACCAGGGTCAGAGCCCTCAGGTACGAGGCCAAGCATTACCTTCTTGGGTTTCCCTTCAAATTTTAGCTGTGGAGGCCAAAGTGTGGTTTAAATGTCCAAGTGGGGGGAAGGGAGGCCTGGGAGATGGGGGGTAGAAAATAAATAAAAGGAGATTTTTCTCTCTCTATTTTAACTACATGGATATTCGAGATCCAGTGAGATGAGTGGTCCTCGCCACTGCTGTTAATAACAGGACGATAGCAATTTTTCTTTGCGCCCTGGCTCTGTCTGTGTCCCTGGGCTGGGCTCAGTGAACACAGCACCTCGTGGGGTCCAGACTACCCCAAGGTCAGTGCCGTGTTGCCCAAGAACACACAGCAAAACAAAGCCAGAGCAGGGGCTGGAATCCAGGACTGCCAACGCCACCTGAGCCCTCAGCCACACAGGGGCACTTTAGTCCCACGTCCTATCTGGGGGCACACGTTGCTCCCCAGGCCAGCATCTCCCCCCAACCCTTTAGTTTCCCCAGGATCATCTGAGAGGCAGATGTGTTCTCATAAGGCTTCCGGGAGCCTGTGACAGGATGGGTTGGAAACAGGACGCCGAAAATAACTCCTCGCAAATGCAGTATTGACTCAGCAGTTTACAAAGCTGGGTCACCCCGATCGTCTTCTCCCCAGTCCCTCAAGGACTCAGGAAAGAGGAAGGATAGAGGGTGAGAGCCCCACTGCACAGCTGTGGCCATCGGGTTCAGGAAGCTGGGTACTGGGGTGGAGCCCACGCTGCTGGGGTTCAGCCCTGATGCCCTGTGTGGCCTCAGGCCTCCTCTCTGTGGGCTTAGGCCATGCTGGTCCTTCTGCAAACCTGGAGCCTGGAGCTCAGGGGTCAGGACTGCCCTTCCCCGCCCCCGCCTCCCCCAGCCACATCCCAGGGCATTTTGTCTTTGAATGGCTGCTCCTTTACCTGGTAAGGAGTTGCCAACGAGCTCCAGGTACTGGTCCACGGATGTGAGGATTTTGTAGCCTGCGCTGTTGATGACAGCTCGGGGTGGGACCTGCCGCTCATACGCCTAAGGAGAGGGTAAGAGAGATGGTCCCTGGGGGTTACAGGTGTGGCCTAGGGTAAATCCCATCTCCAACTCTGGCTCCAGGACCCAACTCAGTGTTGCCTGCCCAAGGTGGGGAGGAGGATGAGGGAAAGGATGGAGGAGCAGGGAACAGAAAGAGGAGTTTAGCCAACACGAGTCAACACGGTATAGTGACCGGACCCAGGCTCTGGGCTCACATCCTGGCTCCACTTGACTACCGTGTCTGTATGACACTGAGGACAAGCCTCCTTCACCTCCCAGGCTTCTTTCCTCCTCTACAAAACCAGGGTAATAATGACTCCTACCTCACAGGGCTGCGTGAGGTCTGAGTGAGGCAGTCCACAGTGCCAGGCGCAGCAAGGACAAGTAAACATGCTGAGATTTCTGTTACTGTCATCACTACCGATACTACCGCCTCTATTATCCGTAGCTACCACTAGCTGAGCATTCACTACATATCAGGCACTGTGCTATAGGCGCTGCATGCTTCATTGCACAGAACACTCACAACCCAAGGTGGGTACCATTATCAGCCACAAGTTGGGACCTAGGACATGAACATGGCCTGTCAGCCTCCAGAGCCCAGGGTCTTTGACCATTATCCTGTCCACCAGCTTCCTAAGTTCTGAGCACCACATAAGTCCCCTCTGGAGGAGAGTTAGGTCTGGGCACTGCTTTCTTCCATCAGTGGGGAAAAACGTGGCTCTGCAGTAGCTCATACAGCTGGGTTGCCATGCTATATCCTGCCACTAGGTGTCCCTACTCAACACATTTCTCCAGAGCAGATGGAACCTCTAGGACACGGTCCAGATTATTTTAACGAGCCCTCCAGGCGAGTCCCATTCAATTCTACCAATTTGAGAACCACCGCCCTGGGGCAATAGGTTGCTCCTGACTGTTACTCCAGCACTGACTCGCCTTGAAACAGAGGGCTTGAGCCTGTCCTCTAGCTGCTCTGGAGAAATGTCTGGTAGAAAAAATTGGGTCTTTGCCTTAACCGGGTAGGGCTTCTTCTCCAGGGGCTCATGGCAAAGATAAGGACACTCTGCAAGACACATCCAGCCACTGCAGGGCAGGGAGGTGCAAGGGGGTGGATCGGGAAGGAAGGTGATAGAACCACCACCCAGGGGTAAGCGGGCGGGGAATGGCTGCTTAAGAGCCAGGGTGGGACCTGCGAGGAGCTGAGCGGCAGGAAGCCCAGCCAGCAAGGAGGCCCAGGTGGGGGAGGCCTGGGCGAGGGCCCTGGAAATGGAGAGCTTTGGAGGGACCTGAGAGAGGTCTGGAGGGGGGGGTAGGAGCTAGCAAGTTGGTTATCGGGGAGCCAGAGAGCTGGATGCCTGGATGGATGAAATTTAGAGCCAGGGAGGTGGGAACGGGTTGGGGAGGGTGCTGAGGTTCCGCTTTGGCCCTGGTGACAGCAGAGTGGGGATGCAGCGGCAGGGTGAGGGTGGGGGTCTGGTGTCCCGGATTTGGGAGCGGGGCGAGTGGCGTGATAACGGCTCTAGAGGAAGACAGCCGGGGGAGGCGGGTGTCTGAGGAGAAGGGGAAGAAGACCCGGCTGGGGCCAGGAGGGGCTGGGGGCTCAGCGCGGGACCCCAGGCTGGCGGGGGCGGCGGCCTCACCACTTTGTTCTCGTAGAGAACCAGCCCATAGTTGTGGGGCACGAGGCTGAAGCGGTTCCTCCACTTCTTGTTGTCCTCCTGGTGCTGGAAGAGGTTCCCCGAGAAGATGATGCGCTCATCCAGCGGCACCTGTGGGAGCGAGGAGGGCGGGCAGTGAGGCCTGGCGAGGGAACGAGTCCTCCAAGAAGGTGACAGCCTGGCCTGCAGTGCCTGTGTGCTCACCCGCAAGGGCCCCCGAGGCAGGGCTGTGTCTCACCCACTGGGCAGACGAGGAAAGTGAGGCCCAGGGCAGTGAAGGGGGCTCCCCAAGACCCAGGAGGAGCAGCGGTGATGTCGGGGCTTGAACCCAGGCCCACGATTCAGAGCCCAGCCAGGACCCCAGTCCGTCCTGGCCCTCAGCAGGCACGGCTACCTCAGGACGGGCCTGGGACTTTCTGGAGTCTGCGGCAAGCTGCTTCCCCGTCCGCCCCCAATACAGCGAGGGTGCACGGCTGTCACCCCAGCAGAGGGGACACCCCCACGCCAGCACCTGGGCAAGCCTCTTCTCAGCCCTGGGCCTCAGCTTATCCTCAGGGCAACACACACTTGACCAAGGTGACTCCGGAGAACGTGCTCAGCTCTGACAGCTGACATGAATCTGGACGGGAGGGAGGGGACCTCAGTCTGGCGGGTTCGACACTTCACGGGCATCCTGGCAGACCGGAGACAGCGGGACCACCCAGACATTCCTGCAAAGCCCTAGCCTCGACCCGACCTCTGACTCGGTGTGACTTCAGACTCGTCATATCACCTCTCTGAGCCTCAGTTTTCCCTTCTGTAAAATGGGGACAGCACCGAATTCATCGAAGTATCTTGAGGATCCCAGATGACCCGAGCAAACATCACACGGGCAGTTGGCACCTGATAGGCAGTGCACGCAGCTCACACAACACATGGAGCCACCGTGGCCACCATCAGGATTCCTCAGTCTGGGTCAGGCTCCCCGCTCCGTTAGGAACTTATGTGGGGAGAAGCAGGGGGTGGCTGTCCTGAGCAGATCGGCACCAGGGAGATTCGGGAAAGGAGACACAGGCGGCAAGGGGGCAGGCTTACTCCTGAAGAGGAGGAGCTGGGGGAGTCTGGGGTCTCTGGCTTTTTAGGCGGCTTCCGTCTGTTCTACAATAAATATGATTCCATTTGCAAAAAAGAAATATGCATCATATGCAATAATGGGAGAAAGCATTATGTTAACGGTGCCTAATCCTTCCTCGGTCGCTCGCTCTGTGTCTGGGCCGCCCTGCAGCTGCAGTCAGACGTGAGCAGCCCCTGCCAAGCTGCTCCCCCACCCCAGGCCTGGCTCCTCACACGCAGCCCCCTCTCCCCAGCAACCTCCCCGACACTCTTCAAGGGGAAATGCCAAAACACTCTTGGAAAATGAGGGCCCATTGTACTTAAACAATAGGACCCCCGCAGACTGCTTCCTACCCAGGGATAAAAATATTTACAGGAAAAGAAAATAGTTCCCCCTACCACCCCCCACCGCACCCCCCAACACACACAGTGGGCTTTGCCCAAGTCACAAAGCTGCAGTTCAGTGGTCTATATTTAGACCAGGGCCAACTGTCAACCCACCTCTCAATGCCCAGGTCTTCTAGAAAGAGTGCAGATACAACTCTCCTGGCAGCCTGCGAAGCCCTTTAATCCCCCCCAGGCCTCTGCTTAGGGCAAAAGCCTCGACTCAGGGGCAGTGGGCGCCTGCACCTAAGGGCACAGCTCGCTGCCCAGGCAGGCCTTCCCAGGTCCAGGCGAGCTCAACGCCTCCATGCCTAAGTCCACCCCCAAATCGTGGGCAGCCTGTAATGGGTGATGGCTTGCAGGTTTGAGCTTTATTTTTAAGACTTTCAAATGGCAGAGTCGTGTTTCCATTGGAAAGCCTGCAGAAAACAGAACGGAACCGACAGCCCAGGCAAAATATTCGGGACTGCAAAGCCCTCTGATGACGTGGTGGGAATCTTTGGTGGGTGGCGGTTGGATGAAGCACCGGCCCGGTTCCGACAGCCCAAGTTCCAGTCCCACCTCCACTGTCCACACCAGGGGAGCCTGGACAGGCGACTCCACCTCTCAAAGCCTCAGCACCCACAGATGTGGACATAATCATAATCTGTCAGGCAGCCGAGCTGTGCCAACGGGATGAACCGTGCCCACACAAAGCACCTATTTTTTATTCTTGTTTGTTTTTATTATTATTATTACTATTTTTATTGTATTATTTTTCATTATTGTTGCTAATAAAAACGGTTGATGTTATTATGATGCTGGTTATTAATATTATTATTTCTATTATTATGATATTACTACCATGATTTAACATCATGGTGGCTAATTTCCCGAGTGGCAAAAATGAGACCAAAAGTTCTTGTTTTTCGGGGATCGTGGGTGATTTCATTTTACTCTTTTTGCTGACATATTAATTCTGTTTTCCTACAATAAATACACACCCTTGTGAGTGTAAAAGGCATTTCTCATGCAGAGTAAAAGCTTAGTGCTGTCAGGGGGCCCCCACTTCTGTCTCGGTTTATTTGGGACCTACCTCCCTGGGATATTTCTTTCCAAATTGGGGGTGGGGGGAGCAATTCTAGCTCTGCCCACTCTGTAGAAGCAGCTCACCAGGACTGGGTCCAAAGCCTCTCCTATCACACAGGTGTGCTCCTGCCAGACACCCAGGACATGCCACATCTCCACTCTGCCCTCCGTTATCAGGAGGTCGGAAGGTTGCCATGACACCAAGGGACCAGCCTTTTTTGGGTCCAAGATCAAAGGAACATATGCTCCGAGAGGCTGTGACAGAGCCCTGACTTACCCTCACCCTGAGGAGGCTGGGGGTTGAGGCAGAAAGAGCCCTTGGCTAGATCTGGGACCTGGTTTGAGTGCTGTCTCCACCAGCCAGGCAAGCCGGTTTAAGGCTCAGCCCCAGGCCTTTGCACGTGCCATTGACTTGGTGCAATATTCCCTCTCTCATAAGGTCCTCAGCTGAGAGGGCCTTTCTTCCAGGAAGCCCTCATGAGCCACCCAGATGATGTCGGGCCCCCATGGATTGAGTTCGCCCCTTCATAGCGCTAGCTTGACCGTGCAAATGGCTGTTTACAGTTACGGTCTGTCTCTTGTCTGTAGAGGGCCACGGCACCTGACCTGACTGCGTCCCCTGCCTGTCTCTCTCTCAGGGTAATCCCTTGTCTCATCAGCAGCTCTCCTACCCCCTTGAGCTAAGGCCTCTGGCTATTCCTCCCACTGAGAAGACACCAAAGGGTAATAAATCCTCAAAGCCAGGTCAAGTGACGCCAGCTCCGGCCTCTTTAGTCTCGTGGTAAATAGGGACATTTTTAGTTACTCGGTTTGGAGGGTGGGAGTGGAATGAAATCCCAGTGTGGGGCCCTCTCAGCCTCTTCTGTGTGCTCTGCCACCTCCTCTGTGCCCTCCAGATCCATCCCTCCCCCCGCTCCGCCATGCCCAGCAAAGCCCCACAAAACCCCCCGCCCCCTCCACGAAGCCGCCGTGACTCCCCTGGCCCCTGATGACTCTTCGCTCCGAATGCCACTTCCCAGACAGAGAAACTGAGGCTCAGCAAGGTGAAGCCACATGTCTCAGGTTACCCAGCAGGTCGGGACTCATCCTTAGAAATCCCACACGCCATTAATCCTCTCACTGAATCCTCACCACAGCCCCCTGCAGAGAGCACCCATCTGTCACATGAGGAGACTGAGCCTTAAAGGATGACTCAACCGAGAGGATTTGAACCCAGCCCCTCCTGAGTTCTTTCTCACCAGACTACAAGGTTCCAGGCTCCATCCCTCCTCTATGGCACTGGCCCCAGACCCTCGAAGCACAGCTGACTGGGGCAACCCAGAGGAAGCCAACCGGGCTGTGGGGAGGTGTGGCAAGGTGGCCAAGGGCAACCACTCAGCCCGCCAGCCATGGCATTCAGCCACTGATGACCTGAGCGCCAGACACGAGGGTTACCCGGCTGACCTGGTTTGGACCCCACTTCTCGAGGGATCGGCTCAGCCAGTCAGGTTCCCAGACAGAAGTGGGTGGGCACTCTGCTCAGGGGCCACCAGCCAAGAGCAAGTAGCCTCTGACTGCTGCTCGGTCATTCCAGAGCCAGGCCACCTGCAGAGGCGGCGGCCCTGGTGCCTTCCTCCTCATCACCCCTCCCCCGCCACCTGCCTGGGCATCCAGGGGGCAGAGGGTGAAGGTCACTGAAAGGGAATGACCTCAGCCCAGGGACGTGCAGTGCCCTCAAACAGGACTTCCCTGGGTTAACACAGGGCCCCCTGCACCACTCACAGAAGGGTGAAGACAGGTCTCACCCCAAGAGCCCAGGCCCGAGACTGGCGGCTGGCTTCCAGCCTGGCACTCAGAGCGCCCCCCCTGTGCCCCTGACACTCCCTCACTTCCCCTGGGGCCAATCACAGGGTCCCCTCCCCAACAGGCTTCACTTGCTTCCTCCAGCCCACACGCACCCCCAGGCCAGAGCTTCCAGTCCCTCACTAGATAAATATTTATTGGGCGAACACAGCCCCACTACTAACAATGGGACAATGACGAGACTGGTGACGACGACAGTGTCAGCCAGCACTGTCCGAGCACCTACCCTGTGCCAGGCACCTGGCTGACTGGAATCTTAAATCCTAGCAACCACCCTGTCCATGCTCATCCCATTTTACAGAGGCGTAAACCGAGGCTCCACAAGGTGAGGTCATGTGCTCACGGGCACACAACCAGTAAGAGGAGGAGCTGGGCTTGAACCCGGGTCTGTCGAGATGACTGCGGAGCCCCAGCTCTGCTGGTGGAGGGGAGGAGCTGGGCGGGGGGTCCCCCACAGTGACAAAGGGGCCTCAGGGACACCACCACGTCATCTGTGTATTCAGAAGCTTGGCGGGGCCCTTAGACACCATCCCGGCAACAATGGGAAACTGAGGCCCAGAGAAGGACGTCACTCCCTCAAGACCGCATGGGCAGCGGGTGTCAGAGCCCGACCAGGATCCGCCCTGCCCCGCTGGGCGCCCCTCACCTTGCGCCAGAGCAGCTGGGCCTGCGGCACCCCGGTGCCCTCGATTTCGTGGCGCATGCTGTTGAAAAGGGCGACACCATACTGGTCCTCGTAAAAACGAAGGAACTCCGTCAGGATCTTCCTAGTTTTCTCTGGAAGGGAAGAACAAACAGGACCGTGAGGTCGTCATGGTTACCGACATACAGCGACCCTGCCCCAGGGAGGGGCGTCCACAATGCCCCAAATTCCTGCTCGTGAAACTGTTTGCACAAGCTCCGAGCATTTCTGGGCAGAGCTGTGCACTTCCTGCACACAGCTGGGTGAACCTCCGGACAGGAAAACCGGCAATGACCCTAGACGGAGAAATGGCCAAAGAGAAATGACGAGGAACCAAGCAAGAGACGAGTGAAAAGACGGTCAGCCTCCCCGGTCACCAAACAAATGCAAAAGGATGGACCAGAATGTGAGGGGATGGGCAGCCTGACCCAGGCCGGGGGGCGTTGGAAAAGGGGATGGCCTTTTTGGAGGGCGACTGGCAGCTGTGTGCACAATTTTAACGATGTAAGTAAGAAGCGGGGGGCAAGGGAGGTTGATAAGAATGTGTATCAGCAAAGGGAAGATGTCCACACTCCATCACGTAAAGAAAAGCAAGCGACAGAATCACATGTCACCGCACTTACAGAATGTCGTCGCATCTAAAGTTATTCCGGCTCGTGCGTACAAATTACTCATGCCTGGGGACTTCCGGGAAGAGGTCCCGAAGGCCACGCGCCTGAGTGCTAAGGTGGGACCTCAGGGGGTGGGGCTGCGGACAGCAGAATCCATCTCATTTTCTGCTTTATTCTCTTTTATAGCATTTTAATTATTTCACAAGCATGACTCCTTTCACGATAAAAAAGTAAATATTCTAAAATTGACTCATTCACCAAGTTAACAACTTTTCTGCTTCCACTGGCCCGTTTGTTTCTCTTTTCTGCTACGAAACAGAGAAGGTGAATGGTGTGGCCTCCGGGGCAGGCCCAGCGCATGTTAAACACTCAGTATTTTGAGGTGGCGTTTACAGATGAAGAAACCGAGGCCCAGCAAGGGTCGTGACCCATGACAAGGGGGCCTTCTCCTTGCGAGAGAATTATTGGTGCTAAGTAGCTGCTACAGCCTGAGTCCCAACCAGCGGTTTGTGCTGGGCCTCAGTTTCCCCCAGCACACTGAGCGGATCGGACCCAATCATGGACGGGCCCTGCTACCTCTGACAGTTTTGGATTCCAGGTTTCGAAGGCCTGGTCCCTTCTCAAAGGAGAAGGGACTGACATGACGCTGTCCTTCCCATGGCTGGCCGCTAGGTACGGAGTGCACCTCGCTAGCGTAGCATTTCATTTCATCCTCTCGCTAGCTCTGTGAGGAAGGGCTGGTGTTATTCCCACTTTACAGAAGAGGAAACAGAGACCCCGAGAGGTTAAGTCACGGGCACAAGGTCACACAGCCAGGGGCAGCGTAGCTGGGATGCAGTCCTGGGAACCAGCCAGGATGCGGTGGCTGAGGAGGAAGCCTAAAAGCACGTCCCACGTCCCACACCTAGGGGCTCAGCCAGGCCCACTCCCTCCACGCCCTGTGGAGACGGCGCAGCCCAGCAGCCCATGGACCCCTCACCGCGGCCTTGGCCTTGCCTGTCCTCCCCTTCCCTGGAACAAGGTCATGTCTGTCCATATTCTGGGAGGGAGGAAGGGGAGAACAAATGAGGAATTTGCTTTGAATGCCTTCTTTCTAAAAACCGTAAACAACCAGAACTCTCTCAGAGACCATGGGAATTGTTTTGGAAAATGACGAGACAAGATGGGGGTGGAGGGAGATGGGGTAACGCACTAGGGTCAAATGGAGAAAACGGGACCCTACATGACAATAGTATTGAAAAATCCCGTAATCACCACCGTAATAGTTACCGCTGAAGGTTAATCCGAGCCGGTGAGTGGGCAAGTTTCACATGCGTGAGCCCAAAAACTCTTCACGGAAACCCCGGGAAGTCAGTGCTATTGTTTCTCTCATTTTAGGGATGAGGAGGCTCAGCCGCCAGCCCACCAAGCCTCAGCCCGAGGTTTTGTCCCAACTCTGCCCCAAGCAGCCGAGCTCCCAGCAGGCACTCTCCCAGCAAGTCGGAGGGTAGGCGTGGGCTCTCCCATCTCGAGGTTCCTCCAGCCTCGGCTCTGGGAGGCCTAACCTACCCCTGGAGCACCAGCCTCGGACAGAGCATCATTTCCGGAAGGACTGGAATCAGTCCCGACCCGGAGGGAGCCAGGCCCAGGAGGAAGCGAACGGGGGCTGCCAGGTCAGGGAAGGCCAGACTTCGAGTCCAGGCAGGGAGTGGCTGGGTTTAGAAGGCCCCTGGGGCTAGACTGGGCAGGACAGAAAGGGCAAGGCTAGCCCGGTAAAGGCCCAGGCATCATCCCGTAGGGCCAGGCACCCTCGAGGCCCGCACCAGGTGGGGCTGTGGGTTGGAGAGGAAGCCAGTGGGGGCTGAGGAAGTGACAACCAGAACAAGGTGACCCAGACAGAGCCAGAAGGCACAGATGAGTCTGACAAACCTTAATCGTCTGGGCTGAGAGGGGCCAGGGCAGGGTGGGAGGCAGGGACAAAATCCATTCTAGACCTTTCAGGTTATCCAAGGGAGACTGTGGGACCAGGGTCCGGGAGCGGAGGGCGCGAAGACAGGAGGACAAGGCCCCAGGCAGAGGGTGGTGAGAGGAGAGGGGATGGGCATAAACCTGGGGGGCGGGGGTGCCTCGCTCAGCAGAGTAGGAAAAGAGGCAGCCGCGTGAGCCCGCATGCCCAGACTGCAGTGACTCCAGCCCTGACCGCACCCAGCTCTAATTACGGGCATGCCTTGCTATCCAAACTCAAGAACGGTACCGATCTGAATCTGTTTTTAGAGAAATCCTTCGCTACCTAAAATTTCAGAACCAAAGAGATCGGAGAGTGTGGGGGTCTCTCACTATCCAGCCTTGCTCTCCCAACTCGGGAGCCAAATGGATTGAGATAAAGAGAAAATGCTATTGTCTGTTTAGGGATTGACTGCAAACCCAGTCAATGGGTGGGCGGGGCTAGTGCCCTTCCCATCACCGGTGGATCCCCCCGGCTCACCGCCTGTGGCCTGGTGCAGGCTGGCACTGAGGAAGAGGAGGTCCACTCGCCACATGATTACAGAGTGCCCGCCCCACAGCAGGCCCCACAGGACAAGGGAAATGCTGATTGAGGGGTGAGGGCGATGTCACTCCCCCAGGGATTAAGGACGAAGGGGACAGGGCTGGCAGCGCTGGGTGCACTCATCTAAGTTTGGCAGCGAAAGGAGCGCTGGAAAGGAAAGACTGGAAGAACAGGGCAGCGGCTGGCTTCCTGGCGGAGTAGCCCCGAGCACATTCTTGAGAGATGTCCTAAGACAGCTTGGGAGGAACTGCCACGTGCTTGGTTCACAGGAAGCACCACAGGAAGGCAGGGGATGAGGACTTGGGGCAGGAGGACCTCGGAGAGGCAGGAGGGGTAGGAGTCCAGCCCCCTCAGGGACGAAGGGCTCACAGGGAAGAAGCCCTGAACAGGGTCCCCCTCTCCGGCCAGATGCTTGGCCCTGGGGAAGGCCTCCATGGGAGGGCCAGGCCTCAATGCCCAGGTGGCACCCTCCCTGTAAACGCTACTCAGCACCGCACCCTCCCCTCCCCTGCCTCCCTGCAGCAACTGTCTCCCCGAAGCTGCCACAGGGACTTTACAACCTAAATTCCCACTGCGGCATCCTCGCCTGCGTGTTTGTGGGTGGTCCCCGAGGCCTCAGCGCCCCTCTCTCCTTCACCCCTGCCCGCGCCAGCTCTTCCCGCTTCCTCCCACGGCTTCTAGAGACACCACATGCCATGAATTTGTGGTCTCCGAGACCAAGGCTCACCACTCCAAAGGGGACTCTGAGCCAGAGAGGATGAGGGGCTCACCTGAGTTCGCACAGCAGGACTGAGGCACCTGGGGTTCAAACCATGGCCTGCCGACCTCCTCCTGATCCTGGCTCTGACCACTGTTCCCAGGGCTCCCCACCCCCAGTCCAGAGGGCAAAAAGGAAGGGGTCGTGGCTCCCCCTCCGGAGGCAGGGCCAGCCCTGGGGGCCCTGGGCCCAGGAACTGGGAGGCCCCGTGAGTTATAGTGATTTAGTTGCTGCTGGGAGCGACAGAGATGCTGGAGCAGAGCCGTGTCAGGGTGTGTGGCCGCCTCACCCACCTTCCACATTGTCTCAGCCATCCTCGCTCCCTCCTCGCATTGACTCGCCCCTGGTACTGGTGCAGGAGAAGAGACAGGAGGGGTTGAGGGGGCCTGTCCTGCGGCTCCAGGCTCCCAGCCGCCAGCTGAGGAGCCCAGGGTGCGGGCCAAGTCCCAGTTCGGCCAGAGCCCAGCCCTGCAGCTGCCTAGCTCTCAGAGCCGCAAGCTCCTCATCGGTGAAGTGGGCATAACCGAATCCACTGACAGTGCTCCCCAGGGAGAGGGGAGCACGTGAAGTGTGCGGTTCAGGACCCCCGTACATGCCACTCTTAATCACAGCAGTGCCCAGCTTCTAACAACAACGTAAGAGACTAAAACGATCATTCGCAGGTACAGCTTTTATAGTTTGAAGAAATCCAATTAAGACTTAAAAAAAAAAAAAAAAAAGAACGAGGAAAATAACCCACAAAATAAATGATGATAAGGGTGGGTAAGTCTTCGACAGACAAAGATCAAAGGGAGAGCCCAGGAGGAGGAAGGGACCTCACAGGCAAAGGGGACGGGGAGGGAAAGCCAGGCCAGGAGTGTGCCAGGAACACCCCCATACCCAGGTTCCCACCTGACCTTGGTGGGAACCCTTGGCATAATCTCCAGCCTCTGCGGGTGCCCGGAGCCAATCACCGCCTCCTTTTGTGCCCCTTTGCCAGCACGTCCCACAGAATTAGGAAGTAAGCTCACCCCACTAGGACAAAAGGCCTAACACACACACCCAGATTCTTCAAAGGATGCCAGAGGTGAATATAGGTAAATACAGCCTTCCGTTTTACAGGTGTGTGAATCGAGGCTCAGGAAGATTAGTGACTCATGAAAGGTCATTTCACTGTCAGTCAACAAATACCTACTGTGCACCTCTGTGGGTTGTCACAGGAAGGGCCCACCTCTGGGGGTCCTGATTCTCTCCTTAGCCCGAGAGGGCAGCCCGTGAATTCTGGGACTGGAGCTGAGTGTCCCAGTCTGTACCCGGCCACCGCTGTGCTCTAGGACCTTGGGGAGCCACTGCCAACCCAGGGCCTCCATCTCCACATCACATCTGTAACATGAGGACAGTAACTCCATCTGGCTTCGAAGAGGTCACTTCCCAGGACTTGGGGGCCAGAGCAAAACACTCACACACACACACACATGGGGTTTGTTTGAGTAAGGGGTCTCAGATCTTAGATCTCTAGATCTTAGGATGTCTCTGCCCCCAAGATGACTGGAATCCCGTCTCCAAAGCCAAAACCTGTTATGACCACCGAGCGTGACCCACAGGGGCCTTCTCACCAGCCAGCCCTTGTCAGGTGTTGTCAGGTGTGCTAGTCGCTGAGAACGTTTGCATGTTCAACAGCTCATTGCAAACAGACATGGGTATGCCCACTTTACAGATGAGGAAACTGAGGCTCAGGGAGACCTGGTGACTTACTCAAAGATACACAGCCTAGAAGGGAACGAGGCAGGTTTCCAACCTTGTCTCATACCAAAGCTTCTTCCTCCCCTGGTCTCTCAGGCTGCAATACAATTTCCAAAGCCCTGCCTTATGCTTTCTTGCTGTGTCTTTGCCTGAGCCCAAGAGACAGGTAAAGCAGACTTTACTGTCCTCATTTTACAGATGAGGAAACTGAGGTTCAGAGAGGCAAAGTGACTTTCCCGAGGTCACCCAGTTGGCCACACTATCAGAGCCAGGACTGAACTCTGGGGTCTCCAGCCCATCTTGTCAGAGCTGGCAGGGAACCTTCGCGCCTGCTGGGTCCTTACTTGTCCATCTTCTCTGGGCCTCAGTTGTTCTAAATGGGTGCGTGGGTCCCTGTTGGCTCAGCTGATCTAAAATCTCAACGACAATCTAATCAGTGTTGTCCTCAAGAGCTGACCAGGATGCTGGCCTCAGCATCTCCTCTGAGCTGCTGGTGAGTCAGCTCTGAGTGGGAGGTGACCGCAGGCCCCCCAGGCTGGACAGAGGGATGGGGGGAATAGGTGGAAGACAGGACTCAGCACTACTCCCACCTGTAGTACAGAGCACTATCTCCTCTGGGTTCTGGGTTCAAGTCTCAGCTCTCTGCCACCTACCAGCTGTGTGCCTTTGGCCAAGACACTTCTCTGAGCCTCTATATCCCCTTCTGCAAAATGGCACAACAGTATATGCCCGACTGGGTTGTAAGAAGACTTCTAAGCTAAGAAATAGAAAGCTCTTCGCCCTGACAAGGAGAAGGCATGTCACTCATGGCCACTCCTATAAAGTCCCTCTTGTCCAAGCTTCCTCTAAGGCAGGGAGAAGCCCTTGAAATGGAGGTCAAGCACCACCATCCCGCCCATCCCCCAGGACCGGCACAGACAGCAGCCGGAAGAACATTAATCTCTGATTTTCCAAACCGACAACATTCAAGGATCACACTACTTCCTGCACTCAGATAGCGGAGGCTGGCAAGACCCGGGGAGGCCCCAGGGTAGCCTGAAGTTCCCTGACGATGCTGGAGGACTGGGGGACTGAGGGATGGGGCGCTGGGCCCATGGTGCGCCTATGGAAACTAAGGCTCAGAGAGAAGAAGGGGCTTGCTGAGCTGAGAAGGGGAGGAGGCACTGCAGGGGCCCTCAGAGAGCAGACCTGGAAAGCCTCCAGGTCTGCTCTCTGAGGACCCCTGCAGTCCCCTCAAACCTTCAACTCAACCACCTGGCAGATTCCTCAGAGAGCAGACCTGGAAAGCCTGGAGTGCCGGGCTAAGGAGCGTGTGCCTTCTCACGGGCTTCCCAAAGCCCAGCACATGCCACGGCCGTGCTAAGCCTTTCACCTGGATCGTCCCCTCAAACCTTCAACTCAACCACCTGGCAGATGGCGTCCCACCGGAGGAACGTTTCAGACAAGGAGACGGAGACAGAGAACTGAGTCCCCTTCCCATGTCCCTCAGCTGGGAAGCGGTGGGGACAGGATCTGAGCCCAGGCCAGGGCTCCCCTCCGCGCGGGCCGTGGTGCGCCTGCACCAGGCGGAAGACCTCCAGCTGAGATCGCAGCGGCTCTGTGCCAACCCTGGGGACTTCGCGTTTGTCCCGGCCCTGCTTTGGCCCGAGCCGAGAGCACGGTGCCAGGCCCGTTCCTGGTCCATCCGGTCCCTCCAGCGGGCTCCGAGACACGCCTCACCCACCGGGCCCGGCCCGGTTTCAGGGCTGAGAGATTTGCCGACTGAAACCAGGCCGGGCGGGGCGGGCCCACAACCCGTCTGCCTGGTTCCCAGAGCACCAGGGAGCAGGGCCAGGGTGACGAGGTGGGGGAGGCCTCCCGGGACACCAACCCTACCCACCCCAGAGCTGAAGGAACAGCAGAAACAGAGGGGGCAGGGACCCCATTCTGCCGTGTCGTAGTAGTGCTGTCACCATGGGAAAGCAGGAAAAGCTTGGGGTCTAGAGAGGTGTCAGCCCTGTCTGAGGGTCACAGAGCACGTCCCACAGGGCGGGGTGGCCATGCCGGCCCCCAGTGCCTAGCCCGGGGCCCTACCACTTGACCGCCCCTGTGCTCGCCGTTAACACCAGCAGAAGCTGCTTGTTCAGCGCCCGCTCTGCACCCAGGATGGTGCTGCACGTGTTCGCGTGTCATTTCACGTCTTATTCCCACTTTACACAAAAGGACACTGCAATGCAGACAGGGTAAGTCTAGGGACACCCAGGTTGTAAATGACGTGTACCCAGAACAGCCTCACAGGGAACCAAACTTTGCGTGACTCCATCTCACTGCTGTCTTCCTTCCTTTGGGGGCTCCACGCAGGACCGGCCCTGTGGGTGGCCCCCATCAGGAAGGTGGACAGAAAGGCTGACAGGTTCCCGCTCGGGACTTTAATCAGGGAGGGGAAGGGGGGGAAGCCCAGAGGAGGAGGGGAATGACAGGCTCCATCGGCCAGCAGGGGCAGGAGATGAGTCTGGATGGGCAGACCGCCTAGG